ATAAACCTCTGCCCCACCAGGAGAGGAAACCTTAAAGACCCCCCCCCATCTCTTACTCCTGCCTCTAGAACCAAAAGAATACTATCTGTAGGTCACCCAGCGAACAAGAATGACTGCAGAGAGAACATGGGGGATGCCTGGAGTTACCAGCTAGGACAACACATGCAATACAGCAGTGCTGGCAGTGAAATACACCAGGGAGCAGTAGGCTGCGTCTGCTCGCTCTTCAGACCTTAAAGGTACCTCCCAGAGGCAAAAGAGCAGATCCCCTGGGGCAATATCTTTTCTGGAAGATGCCTTATACAGGGACTTTAAGTAGCAAAAAGGCAATATTCCTTGTGAGATTATGATTCACTTGTCACATAAGGTATTATATTATGTGAGCTTTCTTTGCTTTAGAAAACAAAAGACTTTTCTTTTGATATAACTTTTGTACCTAGGGAGACAGGAATGGGTATTTTTAAGTGTTTGCTATGTATAAATATTATGTAATTTGATCCTCACAACCATCCTATGCAGTGAGGGCTATTATTATACCCATTTTAGTTGAGGAAACTGAGGCAAAGATTAAGTTGCTTTCCCAGGGTCACAGAACTAGGAAGCACCTGAGGCTGGACTTGATTCTAGGTATTCCTGACTTCATGTCCAGTGTTCTATCCACTTAGCTAGTTGTCCATGTTATTAGACTGACCACTGGTGAGATTTCTTCAAGTTTCTGGATGGGATTGGAGCTAAGTGAGATGGAAAATCCCACAAATATAATACCTGCCACACCACGAGCATCTTTGATACAAGGGATATATACTCCCACATATCTGAGAGCAGAGCTTTACCAACTATGGCATAAAACAGAGCAGTCCTGACAAGTTGAAAAGGCCATCCGAGGGTGTCACTTGACCACACTATCAGAGATGGTGGAAGCCACACTAGCATTGCATTCTCTGGATCCAAGCTCTGCCACATGTAATTGGTGGGAGTAGCTCTGAAAAGGCAATCTCCCCATTCTCAGAAAAGAAAGTAATCAGAGTCTGCAAAACCATGATTTTGGGGGCAAAACACCAAATCCTAGCATCCAAAGAGATGGTACCTCCATGCTGGAGGCAACATGGTGATATGGTGGAAAGAACACTGAATGAAAACCAGGAGACCCAGGCTAGTGTTCTGGTTCAAGGTGTGAGTGACTTTGAAAAACTCAATTTTCTAAGCCTCAGTTTCCTTATTTTGTAAAATGATGTGAATGAACTACTTGCTTCTCGTTCAACTAATCTATGAGTATTGTCATAGCTCACAGATTTTGAGCTAGCAGTGGATGGGGCAGGGAAGGGCCAGAATGTCCAAAAGAATAAAATGACTTGTGTGAGATCATTCAACTTGGAAACGTCACAGTGCCAGATTCAAAGTTAAGTCTTTTAACCCCAAAACCTCTGACTTTTCCTCTATATAACATGCCCTCTCAACTTATTCAATCTCTATTTTTCACTCCACTGTGTGTATATATGCTCAATATGTATATCTATATGTACTATATATGTGTTGATATATGCACATATATTATATAAACATAACAGTTATGCATGTATATATGCATGCATGCATGTATATGTATGTGCATGTGTGTATAAACACACTGCTGAATTTCACTGAGGATTATATTGGGAGGAGACAAGACTAAATGATCAAGTCAGATGGCCCTAGTTCCTATGGAGGTCTTTGAAACCCACCAACTCCTCCCTCTCCTTAAAGGTAATTCCCTAAGAAATACTTCTTTATTCTGGGAACAATCAAGAATCAGTTAACGACTCCAGATATTTAAATTACACAAAGAAATAGGACAGGGGCACAGAACAGCAAGAGGGACCACGGTTATTTGCAGTTGTGCTAATTTTACATCTTAATCATCATATTCTGTCATACTAATGGACTATCTCTCATCTCAAGTATACAAGGTTTACATAGCTAATTAAGAATAATTACATTGAACATCATCCCTCTTCCTCCCATTTGCTACCCCAAAGATCAAGTAAGGAATAAATGAAAATCTAACAAATAAAGCAGTTTAAAAAAAATCAAAGGTATCCAGTAGTGATAGAAACTTTCATTGTAATGTTTTCTGCACAAAGCCTATTGAAAGAGTTTTAAGATCTAATAATCAAGTCATATTAATAATTGTTCTAATTATGCATTGCATTTGACAAAAATAAATAAAAATTTTGCTGAAAGTATCCTGCCTTTATCTACCACCCAAAACAACATTGTAAAGCATTTATTCATTTATCCATTTATTCAATGAGCTCACTGGACTTAGAGTTTTGCCCTAGGAGAACACTATATGCATGCAAACGTTCACTTTAACTCACATTTGTTTAACCCTTACATTGATAGGTAAACTGCATTTCTTTTCAACTTCAGAAATACAGAGTTCATTGAGTTTCTTCCTTAGTTCATAACATCTTTCTCTTGAGAGATACACCATCAAGCTAGCCATCTATAAGCAAGTAGGCCATTTTCTCTCATTGAATAAAAAATTCATGGGGTGGGGGGAAGCATAAGTGGAGATAACTATCAGATGGTTTAGAAGGCTTTGAAACCTGGGGTCAATTAATAGCCACAGTTCTGATAGGAAGGACCTTGATGTACCTGTTAATAAACAAGAAGAGATTCGTTTTATCACTAAAAACAGAATTCCAGAGAAAGAAGGAACCTGAGAGATATCCTAGTCGAGTCACTGGGTAGCAAAGAGGTTAAGGGACATTCAAGAAGCTAGTCAGCAGCACAGCTGGGAGTAAAATCCAGGTCTTTTGGTTTCTTGTTCAATGATTTTTCCACATTACACCAGGCTGTTTTACCACCTACAGCTTTTGGTTGTTTTCACCTGTACCAAAGATACCAAAGGTCCTCGGCATGCCATTTAGGAAATGTTTGTTTTCTCACACAGGAGATAAACTTGTTAGTCCTGTCTCTTACTTCTTTAAGAATCTCTGCTGCTGTAAAAGGGATGCTGAATTAAAGAGAGGCTTTCTTTCTTACAGGGGAAAAAAGCTTTTCATTTTACACATATGGTGTCTCTGGTGTTTTAAAAGGCAAATGCTAACCGGGAACTTAAAAATAGACCATTGGTTTATTAGGGTGCATTATAAAGCCCAGATAATCCCTTCCTTTTCCTCCCTGCCCCCACTAGAAAACCGTATTTCGGCCCCAGCTCAGGGCGGTCTGCCCATGAATAATCCTTACTAGGCAAGTCTCTGCAGCTGTGATTCCCAGGTTAATTGTAGTGCATGTGTCCAGCTCAAACCTGCATGCCAATGTGTACAATATGTCCTATGTCTGAATTAGTGCCTCGGTCTCAGCCACTTGACTAGTGCTCGCCTGGGTGACTGCGACCCACTGGTTTGGAAGCTCTCAAGCAAACCCGCTGGGGAAAGCAATACCAATAGCCCGCGAAATACATCTCCCAGCCCTTGATTACTCTTAATTTAGTCTTTTCGGAAGTCGCAGAGATTCCCTCCCAGAGCATCACATTTGTCCAGAAAAGATTTGGATCTTTTCCATTCCCAAACCTAGCCTGCACGCGACCCCTTTTAAAAGCCTCTCATTTCTCCCAAGTGCAGAGTAAGCCCAAAACAAATCGAAGCGGCGGCTCAGGGAGTTGGGAAGGGTGTAACGCAGACCAAAACAGGCAAAGCAGGTATACACGCTACTCGTCCGCTTCTCCAGTCCTTAGGCCCCCAGCCCAGACACACACAGACCCAGACACATACACACACACACACACACACACACACACACACACACACACACACACACACACACACACACACACACACACAGTCCCGAAGAGCTATAAACAGCAGCTCCTGGGGTTAAGGGAAAAGGAATTTGTCGTGGAGGCTGCCCCAACAGTTGAGTCTGTGGTGTCTGCAGCAGCAGTTGCCACCACCTAGCTGGGCCCGGTCCCCGGGATGCTGCAGAGCTAAGGAAACATTTCTCGCGTTCTTGGGCAGGTGGAAAGTTGGAAGCCGTGCTAAGTTGCAGGCTCTGAAGTACGTGAAGCCAGAAGGATGCAGGAGTAAGCGCAGCTGAGCTAGGGGAAAGAAATACCGGGACAGGAAGAATAGGGCAAGGACACCTCCCAGAAATTCACTTCGCCGCTCGAGGCCTGAGTTTCCTGATGTGTAAAAAAAAAAAAAAAAAAAAACAAGATTTTGTACTAAATGACCTCTAAGGTTCCTTCCAGGTCCCAAACTCAGATCCTGCGATCCCTGGACCAGGTTTTCGGAGTTTCGCTAGCTCTCCAATCCCCCTAGACGCCTGCGGGAGCCCCCTCCTCCCTTCAGTTCTCATGACCTCACCAAGCGCATTTTTCCCGTATATGTCCCATCTGGGAGGTTAACCTGCTAAAACTCGCCAATCCTTGCTCCTCTGACCTCTCAGGACAAAGTAGGGTCAGTGGGCTTTGTGGGCGTCACGCCTAAACTCCGATGGTCCCTGACTCCATGCACCCTGTCTCTCTCGCTGGTGGAGCCAGGTACCCGACCTCCCCAAGCCTTTGAGTGGCCTGCGGTCTCTCTAAAGTCTCCTTCGACGCAGACGCGCAGCAGCCCGACAGGGATCCAGCTGCAAAGGGTAGGCGCACACAGGTAACAAACGTCCTAAAGCTGCCGCGCGAGCAGACACGCGACCGCTCTAGAGCTGGTGGGAAGCCTCTAGGAACACACCTACACACTTACACACAGTCACTCTCCTTTACTGCCTCCCTTTGATGTGTGTACACACGCGCACACGAGTCCCTTGTCCTGAATTTACACTCACACACACTAACACACACGCACACACACACGACCCTGTTCTCTAAAGAGGCTCCCTTATCTCTACCCTACAGTCGCACCCAGGGTGTCTATTCCCCCTTCCAATGATTGGAGAGAAAAGGGAGAGGGAAGGAAGAATTGAGGAAGAAAGGTGGAAAGCAGGGGTCGAGGGAACTTGGGGAGCCATGGACTCACCGTCCTCCAGAGTCTGTGTCTTTTGGCAGTCACTGAAGTGGCAGTGACGATGAGGTGGGAGACGGACACCACTATCCCAAAGATGATAGCCAGCAGACTCCGCACCGGTAGCAGGGAATAGGAAACGAAGGTGACCAGCATGAGTTGCCACATTCCCTGCTCTGGGGAGGTGGGAGGCTCGATGCCGTAGGCCCCCAGGGAAAAAGGGCAGCAGAGGAAGGCGAAGGTGAAACTGAAGAGCAGTATGAGTTTGACGATTTGCTGGAGCTGGGTGACCTGCAGGTATTTGACATTGGTAACGATGAAGAGGGAGAGGAAGATGATGCAATGCACGGGGTGCGAGCCCTTGGAGATGGTCAGGTTGGGGCCGGACATGAGCTCCCCCAGGGCCAGGGTACCCGTCAGGACTATGAGCACGGCTAGCGCCTTGAGCGTGGAGGTCTGTTCCAGTTTCAGGTTGTAATTCCGGAAAAGGGACTCGAGCTCCTTGCAGTCGAACTCGTCCTCGCACGCGATGGCCTCCAGAAGCAACGGGGAGCCCCCCGGGGGGGCGCAGCCGCAGGGTGGACACTTCCTCCTCTTTGTTTTGACTTTCCGAAACGGTGTTTCCTCCATGTCAGTGCCATGCATAAACCCCAGGGAAGAGATGCTCCGAGGGCCCCTCCTCCCCCGCTCCTCTCCAGCTCATAGAGGGGCTCCGAGGGCGCCTCCGAGCTAGGAGCCGCTGCCAAAGCCGCCGCCGCCGCCGCTGCCAAAGCCGCCGCCGCCGCGTCTCCAAGAGCCAAGCACCAGGGCTACAGAGTCACCCCTTGTCTCGCCGGGACTCAAAGGATAATACGCTCCCGGTGATCCCCAACACCATCCAAAGAGTCGGAATCGAGCAAAGCCAGACGGAAAAAAAGTCATGCAGAGGCGAGAGATGGGGTAGCTTAGGCGGAGCTAGCCTAGCCTGCCCCCTATCCTCTCCTCTCCTCTCCTATCCTATCCTTGCGGAGGAAGAGGAGCGCGTCCGGGAGCATTTCGGGCAGCGGGCTGCGCGCTAACGGTGGCAAGGCTAAAGTCTGAGCGTCAAGGCAAAGAGGGCGAGGACTGAGAAAAAACGGACAGCGGGAGGAGCGAAGACGAGGAAGAAGCGGGGAGAGGAAGAGAAGGAGGAAGAGGACAGAGGAAAGGAGCTAGGGAGAGGGAAGCAGGGAGACAGGGAGATCCCCTTCCTTCCTACGTTCAAGAGCATTTCTCTGGGGCGCCGACTGGCCTGCGCCTGCGCACTGGCTGCTTGAGAACCCAGACACGTCTCCCCAATCCGACCAGATTGAAAAGAAGAAAACAGATCTGACAACAGGACCACGCTGGAGTCCGTTTTAGGTTCCCATCTCCATCCCCTTCTCCTTCTCCTTCTCTTCCTCCTCCTTCATCTACTCCAGGCTACACATACTGGGCTGCCACCCCCACCCCCCCACCCCCAATTCTTCAGCTGCCTCGCTTTCCACTTAGCATTTGCACCTACGGAGCAGCTCTGCACCTACTGTAAATAGTCTTGTGTGTCTCATACCAATAAAGGGGAGGAAGCCAGCCAAATTCCCTTTGAATGGTGCGGGTCTCTAAAGCCATCAGGTCAGAGCCGGGCAGTGCAAAAACTCCCCCCTCCCCCTCCCCCTAAACCAGCCTCATTTACTCGAGACGCTAGACCTTTAAGGAATTTCATTTCTCTGGACTGAGAGGGGAGGGGGAAATCAGTGGTGCAAGTGGTTGTTGTGGGGTAAGAGAGGAGTGGAGGGACTATGAAACGAAAATGGTTCTCCTAGTTCACCCAAAGGATTGAACCTTGAAAGAGTGAGGGAAATGCGGGGAGAATGAGGAGCAGAGAAAGGAAAAGACAGAATACAATAAATCAGAGCTTTCGGGGGTGATGGGGACAAGATCTCCCCAAACAGAAACTTGTAAGGGAGAGGAGAGGTTATTGTAGTGTCTCCTCTCTGAGGAGCAACAAAAATTAAACTCGTGGGTCCGAGAGAGGACAAACGTAAAAAGATCCTTGACTGTGGTATCTTCCTGGGGCCCTAAAGAAGCCAGACCAGTTAAGTCCTAATGGTCTCATCTTAGAGAACGGGTTAGGTAGTAGATGTCAGTGGCAGGTGCTGTGCAGGAAGTGGCCCTTTGAAGAATGAGAGGAAAGAAAGGAAGGCGATACTCCATTTAATCATAGAAAAAATTAAAATGAATTCCACACACTTCAGAGTTCTTTCCCTCCACGCATCCCCTAGCTTCTTAGACCTCATTGCTTATCCTGATTATCAGTCCAGAAAGATGATTATTTGAACAGGGGAACAAATCAGTACCCCAAAAACATCATGTCCGCTAAAGGAAAAGCCAACATAAACTATGGCCTAACAGTGGCTTATTTTGTGAGCAGGTTAGTGACTATATGTTTTAAGAACTTGAGGTACATTGCAGTTATTCCTGCTGGGAGAGGAGACTACCTAAATCTCATTTAGACCTGGCCATATCTACAATGTTATTCTTTCATGGTCTAATTTTATGTACATCCATCTCTAAATGTTAACAATAAGGAAGAATACTTCCTCATTATTTCATCTTATGACTGCATTCTCTTATTAAATCAGAAAATAGATTACTCTAACTGCTTTTGTAAAAGCAAAGCTGAAAACATCCAAACATATTTAAAACCAAAGATGAAAGGGGTCTGTAATAATTAGTGGGCCAAAAAAACCCCACAAAAAGCCATATGTTTTATTCCAATTTAATTCAACAAATGTTTATTGAGCACTTATCATGTTCAAGGCAATAAGCAGGAAACTAGGGATACAAAGACCATACATAATATATGTGTGTATATATGTATGTATATATATAAAATCTCTGCTCTCAAAAAACTAATATTTGTCCTTTCCCCCCCCACACACACACACTCCAGAGGTCTTATAAGTAAGATAGGGTTAATTGCTTCAGTGGGATTTTGCTATACATAATTATGCCTTTAATTCAACCGAGATTTACTAAATCTATTCAAGGCTCTGGGCCTAGAGATGCAAAAACAAAAATGTAATAATTCCTGCTTTCTAGGAGTTTGCTTTCTCTTTGGGGGTCTTGAATCAAAAAGTATAGTAAGTAAACAGTAGCTGTCCAGATTTGTACAACATCTGAAATTTGGTAAATCTGGCTTTTGTAGGTTCAAGGCAAGAGCCAAAAGAACTTGCCAATTCATTTTGGACTACTTGGTTGTTCTCCTTTAAGGTACAAAGCCTTTAGAATGCAATTACATCAACCATTAAGATTTTACCATTTGTTGGATTCCCTGTCCAGGAGAATACACACCCAGTGCCTGCAGTCAGTAAATATTGAATAAAAACAACCCTTAAGAGTGAAAAACAAACATGCTATACGTGATCACAACAAGTGTGTTCTGCTTTGCTGAGGAAACCATCTGTTCTTGCTATCAAAGATTAAACAAATATAAAAGCACTAATATCATTGTTAATTGCATTATGGCATGCATCGCCGGCAACAACAATTAAATTTGGCTCACTTCTTGTAAGTATAACATACATGTTCCTTTTGCTTCAAAAAAATCAATAAGCAGTATAATCTGAGCACATAAATTTAGAAGAGTTAGGAAACCATAATCCCTTATCAACTTGAATAAACAAGGCTGTATGCTTCCTTTAATAAATTAAAGTAATAACAGTATAACCCATAAACATATCTTAGCCTTAGAGATTTGTTTCTGTTATTAAATCTTTTGAAGCGAACTAAATGTATCAATATAGTTATTCTGGACGTGTATCTAGATAACCACTGAAAATTAATCTAATATGGAAAAAGCAGGTCATTGTAGTGAAAACTTTTGTTGATTTTCTGTTGCCTGGCACACACACGCGCGCGCACACACACACACACACACACACACAGAGTAGGTGCTTAACAGTTTTGTTGAATTGAATTCAGTGAGCTTTTTGCTGTGAATAAACCATAGGATTGTCTTTTTGACTGGTACATCATTAGCTTAATTTTATGAACTATCTTATGAAAAAATGTTCTTTGGGAAGAGAAGTACTGATTAAGAATAAATTTAATGAAGAGCTGTTCATACAATTACTCACCAGGAGCCATTGTGGCCCAATGGGGACAGTAATGGACCTAAAGTCAGGAGACTTTGTTCCAAAAACCCTGTCAGACATTGATAAGGTGCTATCAGGGGCAAGTCACTTAACCTCTTTGGGACTCAGTTTCCTCATATATATAAATGAAGTTGTTGAACTCACCAGATGACTTCTAAGGTTATTTTCAGTTTCAAATGTATGATCCTTTTTTCTGTTAAAAATCAGGAAAATAATACTAGCACCACCTTCTTCACAGGACTGCTATGAAGAAAGTGCTTCATGTAAGGTGCTATAGAAATGGGAGTTCTTATTAGAGAAGAAGCAGAATGGACCTGTAGCCCTCTGCAGCTCTGTGGTTCATAGATATTATGATGAATCTGAAGTGATGGGCCCTGTATAGTTCATTTAAGTCAATTGGGGCCAAGTAATATTTTTTCTGCCTTAAAGAAAGAATTTGACTATTTTTTGGATAATTTTATGGGTGCTATATTTTATTTTTGTATCTTTGACAGGCAGAAAGAGAGTACTGAAACATTTTGTAATTTTTGTTATTTTTTGAAAAATGTGTTACTAGGCTGTTCTGATTGGTGTTGTTTATTTCTTTGAGGAGAGAAGAGGTGTACCACACATTGTAGGATGTGCAAATATAGACAGGGTATTAGATGATTTGTCCAATTTTATATAGATCATTAAATGGTGGAGCCAGGATTGGAATCCAGCTCGACTAATTCCTAATCCAGTGTTCTAGACACTGGCATAGAGGTAATCAAGGGAGCCACCACGGTCTGCTGCATTTCAAATGGGCCTAGACCTGAACTCTGGCCCTTCCCAGGGAGTTGCATGCTCTGGTCTCTTACTAAAGAGTATGGGTAACCAATAGCTCCTGGTTGTTCACTATGTATCTCCATGGGCCCATGTTGAAGATAATTGGCAACCAAGTAAGAATAGCCACCTCCTCAGCAGGGCACAAAAGGTCTGGAAAAGTTCTGATTCATCTGAATGGATCAGAGTTCTTTTTGGGACACATGTAGGTCAACTCTCCCTTGTTTCTTTAGCAAGAGGGGAGAAGAAATATCTCTTCTTTGCTTCTATATGACCCTCTACCCTACCCCACTCCTGTCCCCCTGCAGTGGCCATAGTGGCCCTCAGAGTGCATATGGCAATGGTAAACAATATATGACTTGCCTGGGTATGGACAAGATGGACCCTCAGATGCATAACTGCCTCTTATGCTTTGTTTCTCCTTCCCTGAACATAGGTCACAAAACAACAATCCAGAGAGATGAATATTTCCAGTCTCATTGACTAGGGTAGTGCAAGAGATTTGGAATTCATGAGTCAGGGTTAATTTCCCTTAGGAAGGTGGGGCAACTACATATTTCTTCCAGGAGAAGATCACTTCCAGGAGGTTTCTACAGCTAAAGGAATCATAAAAGTCTAAGCTATTTCTTGATAGTCAAAAGACTGGGACTTTAAAAAGAAATTTAAAAAAAAGATTGGGACTTTGTGAATTGCTCAGAGAGTACCGATCCAATTTGAAGGTGAAATATCTGATTAGCAATTCCACAGGTCTTCCATCTCC